GGCAGTATGACCTCTGAAACGTTGGTAAGCATCTACCAGACTACACAGCGCAACAACCCAGAAGACAGAAATCTTCATACTCACCGATGTGAAAACCTCAAATCTTACATATTCTTAATTTCTATGTGAATGTTTATTCTGTTATATTTCCGAAGGAAATTTTTGATATAAAGAGAGAGAATAATTATCTTTATATCACAATTCTCTCCTGCATTCTAGCACCAGAGGCATTGACGTATACAATTTTATGAGCTTTTATATCTATACTACTTTTGCATTAAAGTCTAACAGGATTTTCGCCTAAAAAATTAGCATCAACAATACTGACATAAGCTGACTTGTGCTCCATTAGACACAAATCCCTCCTGTTTTCACAGAATTCCCTAGTGGTGTCATTCACATCCAATCCGATAATCACTACCCATAAAACATATTGTATTAGACCACTTCAAATAGAAGGTACATAACAAATTTTACACAGAAAACATAAGTACTTTACTACAACTGTCGTTCACGGGCTCCACACGACAACAAAAAAGTGAAAAATTGTACCTAAATGACAAAATCACTGTTATGAGTAAATTTATTTGTTAACCATACACCGTTCTTGCACTCATTACATTTCTCGACCTTATCGATATTCTGCCTTCCATTTTGCGGATTCTTCTTCAGTGTTGCATGTTTAGTTAGTTATCTAATCAATTTCCCTCAGTCCCGTTTTAATTACCATCTTTATGCCTAATTTGTCTATAATGTTTATTCAGCTTGTAATATCAACACTGAAAGAACTCAACACACCACGCTTGTGTACATGATTTGTAATTATACAGAAATAGTCTTTGATACGTTTCACAAAATGCAGTTAGCAAATTTTCGTTCGGAATCTGAGTGTTTCCGTGCAAATATTTAACATGCAAAAGCGTGTCTCTGACATCCCTGTACCTGGACTATACGGCACTCGGCATAGATTCTGGCAGTTGATATTTGTACTCTAGAGTTTCGTAATGACCTCAGCTTAATTGTATCCACGCCAGGTATCAGCATCTGTAGGGTTCAGAACATACAGTGGCCTTTCATCTGTGCCAAATTTGTTGAAGCAAGTTGCCGATATGGGCTTATTCATTGTCATGAAACCATCAGAACGTGGACATCTATGTCAAAATCACCATATTGCTGCAGAGGATCAATACTGACATCAGTAAGCAATCCTCGCCCCGAGACTGCTCTCCCATCTGCTAATTAGGTACTTCACAATATTTTAATTACGGTCTAATGTTTTCCACTTCGACTGACGCGCTAGAACGTCCTGCTTTCTTTGTTTTGGACTTTAACCAACTTATTTTCCTAAAATTCTTATTCTCAAAACCTTAAAAATCACTGTGTCAGAAGATGAAACGCAGTGTTTTCAAATAAAGTTTTAATATTTCTAAGATAATAAATAACATCTCCAATACATTCAGATTACAACTAAAATATTTACTCTCACTGATCTTTGTGATCCCTCATAAGTCAAACAGATAACGCAGCTATACCTAGAAGCTTTCTCAATCTCTTTATAACTCAATTTTCATATGTCTAGTGTCAGCAGTGTAATGTAAGTGCATTTTGTAGGATTTGAGGTTTTCACGGCGGTGAATCTGAAGATGGATATCTTCCAGGTTGTTGGGCCGCGTAGTCAGATAGAAGTTTGCCGACGTTTTAGGGGTCACACTGCCTCCGTCATCAGGGCGATGAAGATTTCTGTCTTCTGGGTTGTTGCGCTGTGTAGTCTGGTAGAAGTTTGCCAACGTTTCAGGGGTCCTTTCTCTCTGATGATGGAAGCAGCAAAAGATCCCTGAAACGACGATAAACTTCTACCAGACTACACAGCGCAACAACCCAGAAGACAGCATGAACATAAGAGCACTTGTTAGCATCCCCATCTGAATCCTTTCTGGAAACCAGTGCAATATGTGGAAAACTAACTACGTCAATTAGCTTTCCAGCGCCTAATTAATTTTCAGTGGTAATGTGATATACAGCTGCGTCCCCAAACCTCTCTGGTACCGCCGCTCACCTCCCCAAAATTATCTCACACATTTTGATTAAATATAATAGAGAATAATTAAAATATAGATGGAAGGTATAGTTTATTCGTTACGTTTATTCCGATTTGGAAATAAGAATGGGACAAAAAGCTTTAAACTTGCAGTAATATAACATACAAATAAAAGGATGAAATCTACACAAGTCGTGGAAACCTAAAAGAAAACTTGCAAACCCCCATGGGTCCGAGGACTCCTGGCTGAGAAACACTGACATGGACAACTGTGACCTCTCTTTCAACAAGGGTCATCCTCTGCCAGTGCTTCCAAAGTTAACTATTTTACTTTCACATATCTCTTTCAAAACTTTTATGGGGATTATGATGTATCTAACATTTAAAAAGAAGCAGTTAATCCGTACCAGAATAAAGTGTTTCTGAAAATTTCTTTCCGTGTAAAGTAAACCTTATTGCCTAACCAAATCTGACGTTTATGTTGTGACACTCCCTTATGTGTAAATCGCCATTCACGGTTTGTCTTAATCAAAAACCTTGCGCAGACACAAAATTATTATCACTGTTTCCTTAGTATTAGGTTAATTCAGTGAATTGTATAGATCTACAGAATTGCTTCACTCATAAATTTTACATTTTAAACTTTCACACTTCAAAACTAAACTGATTAATACGATCTACAAGCTCAGTGCCTCATGAAACTCTACAAAAACGTTTATTCTTCTCCGTCTGAATAAAACGCATATTTTCTTTAAAATCATTGCTTAAAGTACTAACACTGATTAGAAACTGCTGTATCTTCAGTTAAAGCAAAATATTTACCATTAGTTTTAGTAAATCTATTACAAAACTGCTTCCGTCTTACAACGAACTTCTTCACATAATCTTATTTTTAGATCCGTAGACTATAAAGAATTAAAACCGCAAAATACCAAAGAAATTGATGGTAGCACATAAAATTCAGAGTAACGCTATTACACGCAAAAATGTTCCAAGTGAAGGGAGACGTTGCTTGTATGGAAAGGCCCTCGGAATGACCTGCAGCTATAAGAAGTAGAAGTTACATTTCCTGCATGTCTAGAACTGTCAAAAATATAAAATAAACTACATGGAAACGCAATACGAAACGTTAAAAGAAGTCGTGGTAACTGACGAACGCTGCGGTCGGACTAGTAGCGCTCCGCCAGACCACTAAAACTGGAAGGATATAAAATAATTGTTTTAATATATAACACATCATCCGCTTAATAATTCAATTCCTAATTACTAAAATTAATAATTATTTTTATCATTTTGGTGCAATTTTTAGGGGATTTAATAATATTGTATTTCAGCACGATGTGATTTTCAGAACAGGTCCTGGTATTGATGACACAATTTCCCATACCTGCGAACGATACACCCATGTTTAGGACGCAATAAATAACAGATAACGTACAGTTGTAGAATTAAGCATCATTAGTTTTATCATTTAGGTCATCCTAGTGCTTCGATATGTCACAAAAATTTAACAAATACGACCATAATGCGAACAATTCTCTTGGGAGCCACAGGGATATTGAAGTCAATAAATAGCCATAGAACTCCCATTTTTCCTACACTCTTTGACAAATTGCAGAATATCTGATCAGCAGTTTATCTATCACGTCGAAATCGATCCTGGTTATCCCCCATACTTCCATCTACGTACGGAGTAACCATGACGGAAAAGTGGATAAAATCATGTGGGCCAATGTGATTTACAGCAGTTCCTAAATATTTCTGTTGTTGCGTTTATCGACAGTTTTTAAAATATAATAAATACAATAATATATTATTTTCTATACTATGGAAATTATTGATTATTCCGAATATATAAAATATAACTAACATAGTTATATAAAATGTTAAAATATACATGTAATTTCAATTTATATGCATATTAAAATTTTATGTAAGTAGAAGTTAAAGTTACATTCTGGACGTGCAACAAATTCTGACACATGTAACCTTGACCTTCCTATTCTACAATATAATAAATTGACTTTTACTGCTAAATAGAAACAATTAAGCTTCGTGTCACACGTAGGAAACAATAACACATAGAATTTACTTTTGTGTTACGTGTTCATTCCATTTTTTACTAACACGCGTAAGACATGCCTCCCTTAAAATTAAAACTTTGAACTATACATCTCAGTTGTTACGTGCCGAAAAATATGTTTCACATTTCTTCGATAAAGTAAAGCTCTTGCTAGAGTTAAAATTAGGACAACATTAAGAGTTATTCCCAGGAGTAACTAGAATTCCTTTACATTGTACAGGTCCTGAATTCACAGGGATTCAAGTGCGTAAAAAAAAATTTTGTGTTGTTGTTAAGACGTACTACAGTAACATCAAAATTACGTTCAGAACGAAATTAGAAGTAAATTAAATTCGGCGAATGCTTGCTATATTGCTTCTTTCTTTCTCTTATTTAAAGATAAAACATTGCAATTCTGTCTTCTTTGTGAACAAGAGACGTAGCACTCGGCTTACCTCTGATATAAATGTATATATAATATTAAAAATTAATGCTGAAATAAAATAACATGATAATGTGAGCAGAATTCATCTGGCTGAGGAACAGAGGTCAGTATCGGGTTGATGTGAACTTCGGGTTTGATAAATGGCTGGTAATTCCTCGACAATTAAAACGAATGTTACATCTCAATAAGAGTTTTGTTCAACTGAATTAGTTGGGACACTGACAGTTCTGACGCTCGTGCTCAGAAGACCTTCACTGTTCCCTTATAAAATGTTGGTTAACGTTAATGCATAAAGTGGAGTTTCATAATTCGTTGCGTTTTGTTTGTACCACAGGAAGGAAGAAAAGCGCTCGCCTCTGAATTAAATTAAAAAACTTTCAGCATTTCAGAACGCTAACTGGGGCTGCACTGCAGAGATACTCACCGTAGGAGCCGAGGATTGTCAGCAGAGCTGAACGTGGAGTGACCGAATGCAGGACCAGTACGCCGACAAACACCTTCCAGTGAGGAGGTTCGGGGCTTGAAGCCCTAACAGACCCACTGCCTTACGTGGAGGCTCCATCTTCATGCACACACTTCACGTTTATGTTACACTGTCACTGGATTCTCATCGTCTTGCTGGCAGGACGAGAATACAGAATAAATACTTCTGCCATGACATTTTATGTTCTCACGACGACGAGTATAAAGATGACTTGTCTTCTGGGATATTGAGGCGTGTAGATTGGTCGAAATTATCAGACATTTAGCGGTGGTTACTGCCATCATCAGAGCGATAATTGCCCCGATGATGGAACAGTAAGCATCTCAAACTCAAGTCAGTTTCAATCAGTCTATACAGCGTAATATTCCAGAAGACAACTTCAAGTACTTCTACAATAAATATAATATTCGGCTTTATATGTTTAATACATCATCTAAAGTTTCAAGAAATCATCCTCTTTACTGACACCATCAATCATTTGACGGAAATTTATGAAAAAAGCTACCGTTGCCGGAAACTAGTCATGACCACTTGCAGCGATAAGCCTAATGCAGAATAGAAAAAGACGAACTGGACTGGAGGCAAAAAAGGTGATTCTGCGTGATTACATTACTTTTAATACAATCAAAAGGAAGAATACATTTCAGCTCAGTTATACAGAACACTGGCGAAGAAGCCTATTCTTAAAAAAGGCCTACGATAGAATAAAAATCCTCTCAATGGAAGCAACACAAGATGCGTATAGAATTTCTGTAGCAAAACGATTCAAATACTGTCATTCGAAGCCAAATTACATGAGAATAATATTAAAATGAATCTTAGCTATTATCCTACGAATCTGATTCAGGATTGTGGCCGATTTCGAGGCTCAACCTTCAGGGTTACGATAAGACAAGCGTTATATTTCTACATTTATATTTGTAGCCTTATAACAAATTCCAAATTTCCCACATCTCTATGTAATATGCACTGTTTAATGCTATATTCCGCAGGTTACCAACACAGACGGATAATTCCAATACTTGGCGTCGCTGTGCATTGTACATTTAACTGGCTTATTGATCTTACGTTGCGTCAGGTCTCGATTAATCTGAGCGTACTTGAAGGGGATCAAGCAATATCCCTCCGTGTGTTCTGGTTCCACCACCATTTTGTCGCTTCTTCCGTCCGTGATAATGTAGTCACGACATCCCCTCAGACAGACAATGACTGACAAGTTGTTAGAATCAAAAGCATGATAAAATAAACCCGAATGTTTAATCTAAAGCGCATATAAAAAATTAATCTAAAATTTTTAATTACTGGTGTATACAGGTTACAATAAATACGGTGTGTAATTTATTATTTTATTATATTATTTTACGGTATTTTAAATTTACTCATGGACTCATACAGACAGACGTAACATGAAACGAGATTTTTCTTGAAAAGTCTAAACGTCAACCCTCGGAGTTATTTTCTGTCAGCCTGTTCATTGCACAATTTTCCATAAACCTAACCTAACCTAACGCGAAATGGAGGCATTTGTCCGTCTGTATACCTGCTTGTCCTTATGTCTCGTATAGAAACCCTTCAATGAATTTCGATGCAGTACGTTGTAAGGAAGCTTAAATAGAAAATAGTTCGCCGAGTTGAACTTTGCTTCATACCATTCCCATTAATTTTATATAGAGTTCACATCGAACTTTATAATTTCCTCTCAAAGATCTCATTGCATGAAACTGGTACCTAAAATATAGATTTCAGATATACAAATTTTATGTAAAATTTCTCGATATATTGCAATAAAGTAATCCTTTCAATCAGTGTTGTCATTTTCTTTGTTTCCGTATTTTTGCTATCCGACCGTATCACGTGTTTTATAGTGCAAAAAGCTGTCTATTTTCAGCACTGTTTCGTTGTTAAACAACGGCAGTTCAAGCGGCGCCAGGTCTGTTAACTTAACATGAACTAGAATATATGAATAAATTCACAAGGTTGTCGTAACAAATAAGCAACTTTGCTATTTCAAGAAAATCCTGATCGAACAACGGTATTTTGTGCTAATACAGCGTAGGCCTATTTAATAAAACAAAATTCAAAGAAGGTTGCATAACCTCAACATAGGTACTTCAATCCACGATCGGCTGCAACGTTTATTTCTTTCATAACAACGCGCCATAACCTTAAGAATGGTGGTCTAGCGGTTAGAACACTGGCCTTGTAATCCTGGGGTTTCGGGTTCGATTCCCGGCGGTGCCCGAATTTATAACTTGTGTTGGGCAAGGCCGTGGTCTAGGCAACACGGAGTTTTCCTCCGGGGGCTTCCCCGGTTTCTCCGTGGCATCCCAACAATTACTCCATTCACACACAGAAGAAGGCAATGGCAAATCACTTCTGGATCATCTGCCAAGAACGTATATGAACAGGTCCCAGTCCGAGAAAAGGATGGAAGGATCCTGTTCATATGGACCTGTCGTCATACAGAACACTAAATAATAAATAATAAGCATACGACACGTCAAAGTTGACGGGAATGGATTTTCTTCTGCACTGAGAAGGTCCTAACGCAATGTGTTGCAGGTTCCCGCCAAACGTACCAAAATTGAACTGACCGCCTGTCTGCAGATTCCCACAAAATGCAGACTTCGCCAGATGGCATCATAGTCGCCATCGCAGCCCTGTTTATACACATTGCTACCAGAGTCGTCACCGTCAGAATCCCATTTAATTGTTTTCTTCATCGCACTAACGGCGCACTCGTGTAGTCAAACACTGGCTATTATATTAGTAGATTTCTCTTTAATTTCAAACTTATAAAAACATCCCTTCCTACAAGACTTTAGTATCTTTGGTATATTGGAGTTGTAATTATTCATAAAGTACAATTTAAAACGACTAAATATAGTAACCTATTCCTCCAATCCAATGGCGAGCTATTTCTGCAGAGTAATAAACCTTTATATTCCAGTTAGGGAGAGGAGTTTATGGGCCAACTATACTATTATTTTTCTCAAGAATTGTGCTATTCTATAAAGTTAGTCAACAATACTTCTCTATATTACAAAACATCATTTCTTGTTTCTGTCTCAAGGTCTCAGCACAAGACGGACGGAGAAGTCGATAAAACAAATATTTGTGTCCAATACATGAAAATTAAATTACAGAAGACTACGAATTGTTCTAAGAAAACATTTGGAGAATAAGTACACTGTCCGGTGGCATTCGAACATACTTCCACTCTTGCATTGTCCATGTCAACAACATATCTAATAATTTTACGTTACGTCACGAGAGAATCACAGAACAGGGCCAGCGGCAAGACTGTACCAGATGTTAAACACTCAAGAGGATTTTCGGTCGGATTTATATGACATCTCTATTAAACAAAATGTAAAAGCCAGTGGACACCACAAGGTACGACATCATTTACATTTAAGCGCTGTTACTTAGAAGTAATTAGCCTAGCAATAACATTGCATTAAGTTGTCACAGGAAACAATCTATAAAGGTGAGCTTTGTGTGGATATTCGTACTCAGAATGCACTATAAACTCCTGAACGCCAATCGGAATAAATTTCGAAGCCACCCACGAGAAACATGATCGATCTCAAAGCAGTTCCGATGTAGCGGCAAAACACTATAGGCCGACTTGTACTTGCGATATATCGATTCGAATCTTGGTTAAGTTAAATGGCATCCTCACTTAGGCTCTTTCTGAGGAGGATGGACAATATTACATAACCTAACGGTGTTGTATCAACTCAAGCGGTTATATATAGTTCAATGATTCAAGTCTTCTACTGAATTCGGTGAACTAGGCAGGATTTTAAAGGAAGCGGCCGTGGCCTAATTTAACGCAACAATAAGAGGGACTGAGGAAAGGCACGAAAACCTCAGTCAGGATACTCGGTCATGAGGGTCAAATTCTGAAACCTGCACGTTCATTAATAACAAGCGGAATGCTAACCACTAGGCTGCGACATTTGGTGTGTTTCAGTGTAGGCCTATTATCCCTGCAATCGCTTGAAAGTACTGAGTATGATTATGAAAAACCTCAGTCATAATTGTCAGTGTGCCGGCTGATACTGGAACTGGGTATGTCCCAAACACAAATCACAAGTATTCCCACTTCAACCATATTGCTCGGACAATTTTTGTTGTACTCTTTTAAGTCTACGCAGACTAATATCGGGATAGCATCTCTAAACAAAACACGACAGTCTCCACCACAATCGAATTCCTAAAAATATTCTGTCATCCTATTAATTATTTATTGCAGTTTAAATACAGCATTACCACTTATGTAGTTACAGAAAGTTTTTAGTATGTTTCGTACTTAAAAAGTGAGAAAAACTTATAAACGTTAATTTTATCGATAGTTATTTCTTAGCCAACATTTATTCCACACGCCATCGCATGACGTAGACTACTAATAACCGATGATGAATTGGGGAGGAGATAGAAGGAGGCGGTTATCGCCCAATTTTAAGATAGAGCCGAGCCCGTTCCACAGGTCTCAGGTACATAACGTCCCTCCCGAGATTTCAGTCTGATATTTCCACAGCAATTGTAGGCGTTACCTCTGTATTGAACCCGCCTTGTAATTTGTGGTTATGCCTGCAAAGTACAGAGTTATAGTATATTTATACGTCACCACCATCCATATCTATGAGGGATTAGACTTAATGGCCTCTAGAATAATCGCTACTTCGTTACGTTGGGATGAATCCAGTTATACAATTTCAAGAGTTTCGGATTAGACCGCAACTTTATCGAGGCACGTAAATTCTCCCTCCACCGAAACGTTACTACTTCTTCTTCTGCTTCAATGATAAAGGCCAGTCAGTTTCCGACTTCAAGACAATGCGTCTTCCCATCTAGCTATGGGTCGTCCGATATTTCGGTATCCACTTAGTTTAAAATTTAGTAACAACTTCTTGTTTTTCAAATGTGTTTTTGTAAATTTTCGTTTTTGATTTTCTGTTCTCGGCGTTAAGCTGTAAATTTTTAATTCTGCGTCACAATCCCGACCCTGAGTATTATAAAGTCTCCGGAGTGTAATTTTTATCGGATTAAGGCTTTACGCCTGTGTTATTAATGAAAAAGAAAACTATAAACTGTAAAGAACATCAACGTTTCCAATCCGATGGTC